TTATATACTATTAAATTTTGGTAACAATTGAATATAATACTAAAAAGTTTTATTAGTAATATGTTTTTTTTTATATATAAAATTTTATTTGCTAGGAAAATCATATGACAAATGATCTACATCACCCTTACCCTTAAATAACCCAACTATAATTAACGATTTAGTAATTACATATAGTTCTATAGTAGCAATTATGCATGTGTGCAGAAATTATTTTGAAAAAAAGTATTTTTGGCAAACATTTCGGCATTCCTAAATTTTTTATATGAGACCCACCGAAATAACTATATGATGTATTTTGATAAAAAATTTCGGCAATAATATGAATTTTAATTTTGGTACTATATAAGACTAATTTCGGCTGCCGAAATGCCGTAATTACTTTTTTATTAAGACGGTAGTTGCAATATACGTAGAAATTTCACTTTCTAAGTAAGATACCTCTATGTGCGGGATTATTTGGGATTATTTTGCATAGTGACTGTTGACGCTTCTTCGAAGATAGAAACGGGTTTAATTTTTATTTTTTGCTTGTAAAATGTTTTACATTCTTTAAAAAGTACTTTAAACTGTATAAATACAAGTTATCCTATATCTGTCAATGTATGTAATTTTTAACTATATGATCGTCAACCTGCACATAGGAGTTTTATATATAATTTTACACGGTTTGCACCAGTTCACCGTTTCTTTCTTGATATTATTGCAACAATCATTATGACGGTCAATTAAGAACAAATATAGCTGTAAGTCCGTTCTGATAGTAATTTTAATATAAAGTCAGTAGGTTCAAAAACCTTTAAACGATCTTCGTTCAAAATCTTAGTACACGTTAAACCGATGTATTAAGGGGCTTCAGATTTTAGAATACGTGATTTACTTGAACTTAGCTTAGCTCTGATCTAGAAACTTCTATTTGTAACGCCCGACATAATTTTCGAGATCGAATTGGTAATGGTAATACGTAATCAGCAGTATGTACGTACGTAAAAGACTCGATAAATTACATTCATAGGTTTTGCTATTTAAGTGTTAAGAAAAAAGTTTTATGATTTTAATTAATAAAAATTTTCACTATGCTTCCTGAATTTGGTTCGGGTGAAAACTTTTAACATTCGACTAGAGGAATAAAATGGGATGCTTTTTTTCTAATACTATAAATGTAAATATTATAATATATTACATGAGTGACTCCAGGGAAAACGCGTAGATTTCAAATTTATTATTATTTCCAGACTCAGTGACATATATAAATTTAATTACGCATCATAGGTCAAGACTGACTCAGGTGTCTGGGTTTTCCTTGACGTCACTCATATCATCTTGAACTTTACTTAGAGGCTCTACAAGATACGTACGTACTTAAATTTAGAAGTGACTCTTTGAGGTAGTGTTTTTATTATGTAAAGACTTAATATAAAATTTAAGTTCATTTGCATCTAACGCTACCTTTTTTTTTTTGAACCCCCAAAATGAGGGATGCGTGAGACTTCTTATTTTTAATAGACATTTCTGATTGATTAATTATAAATTTTTTTACATTTTTAAATAGCCGAATCCTATTAAAATTTTTAACCCTTTATGTAATTTATCTCGATGAATATTTTTATTTAATAAACATTAAGTTATATATATTAGATATACGTATACATGTTGGCAAAACGAAAAATTTCAAAATCTCATCCAAATCCCAAATTGTCCCAAAGCCCAAATTCCATCCCAAAAATATAATATAATAAAATTCGTCCCAAATCTCAATCCCAAATTCCATCCCAAATATAATAAAATTCGTCCCAAATCCCAATCCCAAATTCCAATAGTTTTGCCAGCAAGTATAGATATACGTATACGTAGGTATTATTGCCAATTCGATTTCAAATTTACACATCGATATCTGATATCGGGCGTTACTTTTGCCGGTGACCATACGACCATACGTACATAAATTTGACAGTTAATGTTGATCATCTGTCAATCCCGAAAGTCGAATTTTCTGCTATAAAATAATCTTTAAATGTTCACGAAAAAACCAAACCTTAAACAAAAAAATAAATAAAATAAAAAACAATATGGCCGGTCCAGACGAATGGTTAACAGCGATAAAAAAATGTCAATTTTTATCTGAAACGGACATGAAAAAACTTTGTGAAATGGTATATTGGTTGTGTATCTACAAAAATATCTCTCGCCTTTAATTTCGAAACTAATATTGTAATGCTTTATTTATGTAGGTTAAAGATCTACTAATGGAGGAGTCCAATATACAGCCTGTTCACACTCCTGTTACAGTTTGTGGTGATATTCATGGTCAATTTTATGATCTGTTGGAATTATTCCATGTTGGTGGAGAGATTCCTGAAACCCATTATATATTTATGGTAAGCAATTTTATTAATCATAGATCCAAATTTATTGCATTCTAATAGTTAAAAAAATAAAAATAAATAAATAATAAAAAAATCAGGGTGATTTTGTAGATAGAGGTTATTACAGTTTAGAAACATTCACTCTATTGATGGTTTTGAAAGCAAGGCAAGGGAGAATGAATATTCAACGGAGTTCATAAGTTTAATCTTTAATTCATGTATTTTATTGTGTCTTTATATCTTTCATTTTTCATTACGTTCATAGATACCCGGACAAAATCACTCTTTTAAGAGGTAATCATGAGAGTAGGCAGATCACACAGGTGTACGGTTTTTATGGTAAACTAGATTTGTTACTTCAATCTTACAATAATAATAATAAGAATGATTTCATATTGTGTTTCTTATGAAAATTATTAGATGAATGCCAAACAAAATATGGAAATCCAAACGTTTGGAAGTATTGTTGTCAAGTGTTTGATTATTTGACTTTAGCTGCTGTGAGTATTGAGTTTATTAAAATAGTTTACATATTCAAATTTTGAAATTTGATATATGTATATATATATATATTCTTCAATATTTGAGGAATAAAAACAGATTCCTTTCTTTTCTAGATTGTTGACGGACGTATTTTATGTGTTCATGGGGGCTTATCACCAGAAGTTAGAACATTAGATCAGATAAGAACAATACCTAGAGCCCAAGAGATTCCACACGAAGGTGCCTTTTGTGGTACGTATTTACCACATTTGTATTTACTCCATTTCACCCATTATTCGTTATTTATATATCTTTTTTTGCAGATTTAATGTGGTCTGATCCTGAAGACATTGATACGTGGGCTGTTAGTCCACGAGGTGCTGGCTGGTTGTTTGGTGCAAAAGTGACAAATGAGGTATATTTCAAGAATTATGCATATTTATATTTTATACGCGTATTTTCCGAAATGACGCCCAGGGATTATTTTCAAATTTCAATCTGCACCAGGCTTGATGTGGGTCAAAAACGTTATTTCGTGAAAATACCGGTGCTAAGAATAAAATTTTATTCATATCTGGTATTTATTGCTTTACTAAAGTTTAATCAGGTTAACGATTTAAACCTAATAGCTCGGGCACATCAACTAGTACAGGAGGGTTATAAATATATGTTTCCTGATGATAATCTAGTTACTGTATGGTCTGCACCAAACTACTGTTACCGTTGTGGTAATGTAGCATCTATAATGGCGATTAATGAAAATTTGCAAATCGATGAAAGCAGTTTTAAAATTTTTAATGCTGTTCCTGATCAAGAAAGGTCAATCCCACAAAGAGCTGGTGTGGGTCAATATTTTCTTTGAAAGGATAATCGCTATTTAGTGTGTCAGTAATTTTTCTTATATTGGTAAGAAAAAAAATTCGAATATTAAATTAATTTTATCTGTTTGGCAGGTGTTATTCGATTTTTTTATGCAAATTTATTTTGTTTTTAATAATCTATTTTTATAATTTTGTTACATAATTTGAGATTTTCAAGTACAAAAGACTTAATTATCCTTAGTATGCGTATTCCAAATGTAAATGTTGTTTAATTGGGATATCAATTTGCCAAATTTTATGTTTAAATTTATTTAGATTGATTGATCAATTTGATATCTAAAGTATATTGCTATTGAAATATATTTAATTTAATATAAAGTTTGTTTTAATTTTTTTGATAATTTTGCTTTTGCTTATAAAAGAATTGCTATATTCAAATATATATTTTATACGTATATACTGTATATATTTATTTAATTAACACTTATATAACTATAATATTTAAATATAATTTGCTTTAATAATAAATAGTTTGTTTTTAAAATTTAACTAAGATTTTTGTTTACTATTATATTTTTAAAGAACTTACTGACTATAACTGGTGGTGATCATTACCGGGTGCAATATTTCAAAAACAGGACTAAGAAACAAGAGTTAGATATATTAAAAAAAAATGTTTAAACCTTTCAAAAACTACCTTTAACTAAAATTTAAATCTTTATATTTCACTTTTGTTTTACTCTAAAACTATGCCCTGAACAGCGTCAGGGTATGATTCAAATTTTTCAGATATTGGCTAAAATTATTTATCTAATTAGCAGGTATAATATTTTTATATATATATAATGAAATAGTTTATTTTATTTTTTTTGTTATAGTGCGAATACTTAAAAATTACACAAACTTTTAAAAGTTAATAACTTTTAATGTGTTTTTTTTTGTTTTTACAAGGTTGATGTTTATGACAGTTATTATCTTTATTGTGTTTGCAATTATGATTACATCACTTGTACAAGGTGAGTGCGTAACTAGTCACATATGCAACTTTAGTTTGCTTGCAGGTTCTACACTAGTTGTCATACCTGTAATCTGCTAGAAGATTACCTAATTAAACATTTTGATCTTTATACTACACCTGACAGATAGCTTCTTTTTCTGTATAATTATTAAGTTATTACATATTTCAGAGTATGACATCTGATTATAAGTCTTCAAAAGGCTTTTCTTTTAATTAAGCTACTTATTTTTATAGAACATTAATAGGGTTTGTTTTTGCAGAGTTCACTTAAATCTTAATATCAATTTTATAGCATATTTCTAGTGCTTATAATATATTTTTGTTTTGTTATCTGATTTTTAATTTAGATAGTTTAGTAAGACTAAAATCTGTCTCTAGTATATTAAATCCAACTTGATATTTTTTTGATCTAATTCTGATAGCCTGGTTAGTAGTAATGTTTGGAATTGGTTTTATTTTTATTAACTGGTTTTAATAACTTTTTAAAAATCAAAATTGAATATAAATTGGTTATATTAAGAGTGTATTATTTTAAATTATAAACTTAATGATAATTCTTTTTTATATTTAAATTTATAAAAAACTATATTAAGTAAACTAATTTGAAATATTAAGTAAAAGTTGTAAAGTAGGTTTTTCTGATTTTAATGATAGTAAAATTATTAAAATTGAGTAAAAACTCATTAAGATATCAATTTTTAAACATTAGGATATAAAATTATATAATAAAATTAAATTATAAACTTATGTAAATTAATTAATCAAAATTTTCAATTTTGTATTATCTAAGAAAATTTTAACCAATCTAAGAAAACATTATTATATATAAAAGTATATTTTTTAAAATAATACAATAATTCAAAATTTTACTATAATTTTTTTTATTTTTTTATTTTTTTAAGCAGTCACACTATTGCTTTATTAAGATTTTTGAAATTACTACTATAAATATATAAATTTACCTAACAACTAAGTCTAGCATTACCTAGTTACCCTAATGGCACCTAAGTGCAACCTGTTACATTACTTTTAGCAGAAATAAGCTGCTTGTCTAACTACTTAAAGTTCATAATAAAAGGATTTTTTCTCTTTTATAACAAACTTGTTAATTGTTTTTTTAACTTTTTTTTTTATTTGCTCTTTTTTTTCTTTTGCTTTCTTTTTTCTTTCTTCTATTGCTTGCTGATTAGCCTTTCTTTTTCTCTTTATACTTAACTTTTCTTTTTCTTTTAGTCTTCTTTTTTTCTCTCTACTTATAATTCTTCTTTCTTTTTCTTATGTATTAACCTTTTCATAATAAATTTTTCAGACTTGTTTATAAAATATATTCCATGTTATTTCTGCTACTATGTTTACAAACTGTTGTTTTGTTTTTATACTTAAGATTTAAGATAACCTGTCTTGCATTGTTCTTGGGATTAGGCCTTTGATCAGTGCTTTTCTTATTTCTATTTCTACTTGTACTGTTTGTCTAAAAAGTGTTATATATAATACTTAAGATAAGACTCATATCTTTTTTTTTTCTTTTAAACTTTTCTATACTGTTACAGAATTGTAGGCTTCTTAGTACAATACAACTAAGTAACAAGGTCACTCAGTACAGTAATTGACTATTGCAAATATATATGGTATAAAGGTGTAATAGTTCACTTTACTACATAGCAGTAGACAAACAGTTTGAGATAATAATAGTATATAGATTAACTTTTTATTAACAACACATATAGTGACAACCTTGCCTGTAGGAATTATTCTAGAGGAGGAATATCATACTTTATAATTAAAAGATCATTATGTCTAAGTTGAAATATAGGAACTTAGAATTGGCAAGGAAAAGGAAAAGGTACTCTTTATATATCTTTTTACCTAGTAGAGGTAATAGAATTTTGAGTGACATTTTTTGATATTGTACTTAGGGTAGTAGGGATTATATAGAGGCAAGTGGAGTTTGTATAGAGATAGTTGAGACAATGTTTATGTATATTTATCATTTGTATTTGAAACACTTAGAGCATGTGTCAAGATACTTGGGTTTGTGTAGAGACATTTAAGATTGTGCAAGGACATCTAAGGATTGTGTTGAGATACTTGTGATTGTGCAAGGATACTTGGGATTCTTGTATTATGTTATTTGGCACAATAAATTGTACTAGGATATATGAAACTTGTGTAGAGATACTTGGGGTTTGTAAGACAATAATAAAATCATAGATGTTACCCAATGTCATGTGTCTGTATCATACTTCTAATAGCCAATTAAGATTCTATTATCTAACTACTATATACTATAATATAACTATGCTAATAACTAATAATAAATATAATATAAAATACAATAATAAATATATAATAACTACTAATAATATAATATACTATGTTATGCTAAAAATCTACTTTATAATAATACCATTGTGATAGATACTTTCTGTATCCTTTTTTATAGATTTGCTTGTCCCTTATATAATGCCAAATGTTCTTGTATTTCTTTAACTTGTTTTGGCAAACTTGACATTCTGTTGTTGTATATATATCTGACCTTCTTTTATTAAATTCTTCCAATATTAGAAGCTTGTCCAATATACATTTCATAAAAGCATTTCTTTTTGTACTATTTCTTCTTGTCAGCAGTGTATTTCTTTAGATGAATTTAGTCTTTTTCAAAAGTATGTCTAATTATATATTGTTACTTCTGCTTCTAGTTCTATATTCTTGATCATTATTGTTTCTTTCTACTCTACTTCTAGTCTGATATTCATTACTATTTTATATAAAAGTCTTGCAAGTATATCTATTTACTTGTTTTTTTATTCTAGACAGTACTTTATCTCTTTGTAACTAATTTCTTCTAAAAAAATTATTTTTTTATTTAATGTTCACTTCTTCACAAAGCTATCAGCTTTATTATTCTATTTATTTTTGCTATAACTTTTTATTCTATCTGTATGTTTTTTGTTTTCATTATATCTCTATTTTTAATATCCATAGTGCATTTTTCTTTTTAAGAACTTCATTTCTATCTATACATGCTAATCCTTTACTAATGTTCCTAATTGCTACATTGCTATCTGTAAATATTACTAATTTTTTTCTTTTTGGTATTGTTAAGATTGCTACTCATATTGTTAACATCTCAGCTGTAATAGATATAGGCTATCTTCTTACCTCTAATGCTACCTCTTCTTTTAACCAATTTTGTGCTTCAGCTATTTGTACTCAACTTATATTTATGTTTTTGTCTATTGCTTCTTTTTTGTTTCTTTTATTTGCTGCACAATCTGTATATATTGTGTATTTGTTTTTGTCTCTTGATATATTTCTTCTTAAGATCTCTACTAGCTCCTGACTAATATTTTTTCTTATTTTTTGTTTCCTAATTGTCATGATCAAGATTAGTTTTGTAATAAAAGCCAGCATTCGAGATATGTAGTCTGGGATGTAACAGTTGAGTAATTCTAGGTGATCGATCAGTAAATTATCCAAATAAAGCAATAACAAAATAAATAAATAAATAAAGATAAATATGCATTATGATATTTGTTGTATAGGCACCCATTGTTTAGTTTCATAGGGTTCAACAGGTCCTGTAATCATATGAGTTAATAGTAATCAACTATTAAATCATGGATAAATTAATTAACCAGAATCAATACATAAGAGTAAATTGGAATGTACATAGTTAATATAAGAATTGAGTATGTGTATAAAATATGTAATTAAGCTAAAAGTTAAATATCATATGATTAGAGTAGTTAATTTAAAAGTTAAATATATATAAGAAATTATGATATAATTAATTTAAAGTTAAATTTTAAGTATATAAAGATCATAAAGAAATAAAATAAAATACTAAACTTTTGCCTTAAAACACAAAAAGAGTTTTGAGTAGCCATGGTTGATCTTGCTATACTGGAATGTAGGTATACAAGTTTCTGCATTCTGACATTCCTATTCGTGTCCAAGAAAAAATAAGACAAAAAGAACCTGGACACAAAAATTCAGTAACCACTTTATAAGTCATTAGAC